TGCGTGCCTGGTTTGCGATGGCACAGCTGCGCCGATGTGCTCGGGTGACACGGGCGCGCAGCCCCTTGGAGCTGTCTACCTGTGCCTTCTCACCTAGGATTCCGTGCGATGCAGCACCTTGAACTGTTATACGCCACCATTATTTTGAAAGTCCCTGGTCGTTTGGACCGTGACAGATACGTGTTACGTAACCCTGGATGTGTGGCCAGAGCTACCGCTGCGCTAGGAGCGAGGCAGAAGAGGGGAACCCCGGCCGCCGGGGTTGTTTGCTCTTGGGATGGGTGGCCTGACCGCCTGAGGCTGTGCGCTTTGGTGTGCGGCCAGGATTAGTTGTGCGTGTATCACCCAGTCGGGGTGCCCTTGAATGAGCTGGATAGTGCCTGGCCCTGGCCTTCCTGGACCCTGCCTGGGACTCCCCATCCATGACAGTGACTAAGTCTTTACAGAGAGTGGTGGACGGTCACTTACTTGCCCTTGGGGGATGGGGGGAAGGTTGAACTAAATATAGACATGATGAAAGCATCCCTTTTCTTTAGGGTAAAATGCTGCATAGATTCTTTATTGTTATATCATAGATTTTTGTCTGGAAGCAGCAGCCTTGGGCAATCTTTGATGATCTCCTTGGGAAGAGGGTTAAGTCATATTATCATCGCCTGTCTGGCACACAGACACGACCCTTCATCAACACCCCCCGGGTCACACCCAGCACATAAATCCACTGGGTCCTTCTGAGGGCAGGCAAACCCCCGGCCTTCCTGAACCTTGGAGGAACTGGTTGTCTGAACAAGTCTCTCTCCTCACCTGGTTATTCCTATTTCTTTTTCCCACCTCTTCTGATGACTTAACCACCAGATTTACCTCCAAGGGGTGAGACATTCAAAATGTTATTTCTAAATATAAAATGGGAGTTTACAGAAAACCCTTAATCTATTTTCAAAGCTATCAGCTTTAAGTCTGACTTTCCTTTCTCTTCTGGGACTTCCTTTTCCTTATCTTTTGTGTGAATCCCCCACCCCACCTAGTTTAATACCCTCAAGCTCTATACATACCAGGAAATAAACTGAAAATCTCCATCCCAATTTTCTATATAAACAGAAGACCAAAATGTCCAAACTAAACCTAGTGCCTTTTCCAATCTTCATGTAAGCATGTGTTCTAGGTCACCAACCATCCATCTTCAGACCCTAGTGCCTTGCATAATGGGGGCTCAACAAGTATTTGTCAACTAAGCGTATGAATAAAAGTGGATGCTTGTGCCTCTATACAACTGGCCCCTCCTGTCAGGCTTAGCCTAGCATCTTGCTCAGAGTGGGGACTCAGAAACTGTCAGTGATGGTGATGACACCCTGCTTAGCACGCATTCACAGTCTGAAAGAGGCTCTGTACCTGACCATTAAGTTTATCTTCTCTGGGTCTACTGAATTTCACAAGATCATAGGAAGGGAACAAACTGAACTAAGCTGTTAGAATAGAACTGGTGGAAAGTGAGTGCGAACGGCAAGACAGAACAAGGCCAGTCACATTCAGAAATCCTAGGAATAATGCTCCATTTTTAAATGAGTTTCCTTAGAATCCCATATGTCTAAATTTTAAATAAATTTATTTTATTTTTCCAAATACTGACTATATCTACATTATGTAAAATGTTATATAAAATAGATCTACATTATATAAATATCTTGGCAATATATAAAATACAATGTACATAAAATACATTATATATAAAAGCATTTTTGATCTATCATCTCACCACTGAGCTGGCCGCTGTTACAATTTTGCTTAGCTATTTCCTCAATTCTAGGATGCAAAATTTCTCACTTGTTAGCATAGCTATGGCTACTCATACCTGCTGCCGGCCCCTCAGAAGTCCAAGTATCACAGGGGAGATTTGTGTCTGCTTTTGTCAGCCATCTGGAGGCACCACCAATCCGAGACCACTCAGTCAAATTCCCTGCTGGAGGTTCTCTGGACCACTGGTACTGTGAATTCAAAATGCAGGCTAGGGCGAACCCTGCCTTACAGGTCAAATTCTTAGGCAAGATTTTTTTTCTTCTCTCCACCCGATTACACAATTGAGACAAGCAAGCTTTCTTGCCTGGCGCTCTCTGCGTGGGAGGTTTACTTGATGCAGTTATGTAGGGGTATCGTGTTCGACTCCCTGTCATGGGCATTTTTTATTCTTAATAGCATGTAAAAATAACGGTATACCTTAAAATAAATGACAGATTTAGATGTTTTTCTTTTCAATGTTTACATGGTGAAATCATTCTGTATATCATTTTTTTTACTGAAGTACAATTACAATGTGTCAATCTCTTGTGTACAGCACAACGTCCCAGTCATGCATATACATACATATATTCATTTTCATATTTGTTTCTTTAAAGGTTATCACAGATATTGAACATAGCTCCCTGTGCTATACAAAAGAAACTTTTCTTAAAAGTCAATTTTTACATATAGTGGCCAACATTTGTAAATCTCAAACCCCTAGGTGTATCTCCTCCCATCCCCGCCCCCCAGTAACCATAAGATTGTTTACTAATTCTGCGAGGCTGCTTGTTTTGTAGATGAGTTCAGTGTCCTTTTTTTTTAGATTCCACATAATGTCTGTATATCAGTTTTGTATTCTTTTTCCCCCTTAATATCAGACCATGAACATTCTGCCGTTCTATTAGAAGCTTTTTATATGCATCATTTTAATGGTTACCCTTGTATGTGTGCTTGAATATTTACTTAACCATTCTCATTGCTGGACAATCAAATCCCTCCCTTTTTTTGCTATACCTAAATTTCACTCTGAAATAATGCTGGGTACCTATTCTATGCCAAGTCCTGCTGTGAAGAAGACAGACATCCTTTGCATCAGGCCTACAGCCTAGCAGGGATGGCAGCTTATCAGGCAAGAAATGAAATCTAGGATGAGGGGTGACAGGCAGGACAGGTACCATCAGACAAGTAACCGTGCTAACTTACGACAGACTGTGGGAGGTGGCAATACTGGGTTAAGGGGTATTCATGTCTCGATTGTGCTGCCGAATTGTTGATTCACAAGTGTACAAAGGCATCGAATTCATTTCCCTCTTGTCCCAGTAAGGCAGTGCCATTTAAGATCTTTTTTTGCCAATTTGTCAGATGACCATGGCATTTTGTTTTAAGTTAGTGTTTGGTGACTGAATCTTAATCATGGTTTCAAAATACATGTTGTGATTTGTGGTTCCTCTTCAGAGCCCTGTCTGCTCATGATCACATCCTCTGGGCTCTTCATGCTCTTGCTGCCAATTTGCATGAGTCCTCTATGCAGTAAGAATATTAATCTTTTGTCTGGCATCATTTGTGTTAATATTATTTCCAATCTACTGCAGCGTTTCAAGGCTGCCTAAGTGCTTTATGAAATATAGAAGTTCTAAATTTTATGTAGTCAGACTTACCAATTCCTTTTGTGATTTCTTATGTTGCCTTGACATTTAGAAAATTGGTCCCCACCCCAAAATTTGATCAACAATCATTTTATTTTCTTCTAGTTATTAATAGGTTGATTTTCCACATTTGATCTCTTAATCTATTCAGTGTTTATATTGATATGTGATATGAGGTGAGACTAAAATTTTTTATTGTATAGTTAACCAATAATTACTAGACCACTTATTGAATAGTTCATTCACTTCCTCTGATTTATAATTTCCCTTTAAACTATAATATTAAATTACTGATATTTACTAATCTATGCATTCTTCACCGCTGACCTCCCTATTCTTACACTGGTACCACATTAATTATATATACATTTAAATATATAATACACACACACACACACACATATACACATACATACAATTTTAAGTTTTATTTCTAGGAGAGGTAGTCTTCTGTCTTTACTCTTTTTTTAATCTTCAGCTATTTCTTTGGCAATTACTTTTCCATATGAAATTTAAAATCATTTTGTCCAGTTTCAAAAAAGTATGGGATTTTTTTTTCATTTCAAACTGCATGAGAATTACAGTTGACCCCTAAACAACACAGGTTGGACCTGCATAAGTCCACTTATACATGGATTTTTTTCAGTAGTGACTACTACGGTACTTTACCATCAGTGATTGATTGAAAGCACAGATGTGAAACCATGGATACAGAGGAAGCCCAGATACAGAGGGCAGGCTCTAAGCTACATGTGGATTTTCCACTGCACAGAGGGATTGTTCAAGGGTCATCTGTGCATATTTACTAGAGAAGAATCAACATCTTTACATAACTAAGCCATGTGTTCTCTCCGTCAGGAACAGTTTTCCATCCATGTAAGGAATAGGTTACCCTACCTCCATGATCAGTCTGCATAATTAGTTGACCAGGGCAGATACTAGTGGTCCAGACAGGAGTCCAGATTGTGGGACTCACTGAGGTGTAACAGAGTGAAGTTTAGAATGTGAATCGAGGAGATGAAGGAAATAATCTTCCTAGTGGTCTAAGGAATAGCTACACCCTTTTCTGTCCCATGAACTTAAGTCCCACACCCCGATACTGAGGAGCCAGGGCAACCAGAGACATCCTGCAGTATCAGATCTCTTCCAGACTCTGGGTTCTGTAACATTCATTTTCTACATTAGACCACACACTATGATGTCAACCCTGTCTGCACTGATATTTCCCTTCACTCCCAAATCGTTCTGCGCTGCAGGCACTTGTTGGTGTGATTCAAGTTGAAAGCACGGTAAGGCACAGACCACAGAGGCTGAGCTCAAGTCAAACCAGAAATGGTGGAGGGATACACAAAATGGAATATATATTCAAAATTACTAAGTTACCTAAAGTCAACACATCCCTCCGTTTTAGGCCTCTGAAATTTGCAAGAGTTGAAAATGAAGCATTTCAAACCTCATAAAAGATACTCACTCTGCAGTAGTGTCCGTCACGAGGATACACAGGATGCAGAGCGTGTGTCTTGATTCACAGCACCGATTGCTGGCCAAGCCCTATTCCAGGTAATGGAAATAGAACATGAAGCAAGTCCCTGTCCTTATGGAATTTAGATTCTGTTGGGGGTGGTGTAGGGGAGACAATTTTAAAAAACAAGCCATTAAATATATAACATACGATGTAGTAGTAAGTGCTGTG